GAACTGCCAGGGATGTTTGGAGCTCTCCCCTCCTCTGGAAGGAGGCTCCATTGGATCAGCCTTTATACTTTGTGCTTTATTCTGACCCTTGTCTGCCAGAGTGCATCTTTCCTCTGTAACAGGCATCAGGAGAGCTCAGGAGTGACACTGGTAGCCAGGAGTCATGTCATGCTGCCTTCCTGTAGGTCACCCATGGTCAGGGGTCTGGGTGAGGGAGGGTGGTGCCGGGATGGTGAGCATGGCAAATGTGCAGAGCCAGTGTCTGCTTTGGGCCTCGGGCTGCACTTGTGTTGTTGGGCTGGAAAGGGTTTGTCTCTGCTGTGGGCAGGCGATTCCCTGTGCTGTCCCAGCTTGGAGCACTCACACCATTTCTGTTTAACTGCTGTTGACCATTAACTCTGAAATGCCTCTGTGTCTCTTGTTTGGTTTTAACTTGCAACTGGCTGATACTCTGTGAGCAGCTTAAACAACAATGTGAATTCTCCACCCTCCAAATCCAAGGTCAAAAACCTGTTGAACGAGGTTTTTGGCGCCAAACTGAAGTTGGGTTTGATTCAGGAGTTGTACTTTCTTTTCCGTTCAAAACAGAGCAACCTCATCTGTCCCTGTGTGACATCCTCCCTTTCTTCCTTCCTTCCTCTCCCTGGTGGGGACTGGAAAGGCTGTCCCAGGCTTAGGGAGCATCCAGCAGCACACAGGTAGGTGGTGCTGCAGCCCAGGGAAAAGCACACACACGGATCTGTGTGCGGTCTTAGCTCTGCATCAGAGCTCTTCCTTCTCATCCTCAGTCCCCACTTTGGGGGACCACCATTTCTTAAAGATTAAAAAAGCAAAACATTTTGAGGGAATTCCAACTTCACTGTAGTCCTGAGAACACCTTCCTCCCACTGCTTGGGTCTGCAGTGGCTGTGAGAGCTGGAAACCCCGGGCTGATGCTGGCAGGGCATTTTGGAAGGATTCACCTTGACATCATAACGGCTTTGGTGCCCACTGCTAGTGCTTCTCCTGCACTAATGGTTTGAGGAAGCTCTGTGAAGTGCAGTGTTTTACTGTTCAGCTTTTAAAAAAAGGAAATTAAGTGGTGCTGAGGCTTTGTCAGAGCAGCAGAGGCTCGACCTCCCCCCTTGGAGCATGAAAGAGCCGCCCTGAGTCTGGTCTGGCTGTACCACTGCATTGCAGGCCTCTGAGCTCCACCTGTGTGACTGTGCACAGAAACTCCTTGGCACAGGGGGTTTGGAGGAGGCTCTGGCACTGCCTCCCCACACTCTGGCTTTCCTGGGCTTTGGTTGTACCTTTGACGGGTCCTTAAACTAACGGCGCTGCCTCCGGAAAGTGCATGTGGCAAGAGGAGAGCCCAGAGCCGGGTGTTATCCGATCCAATCCAGCCTTTCCTCTTTAATTTCCTTTTTTCTTTCCCTAGCCTAGCTTGTGTGGGACACTGGAGCCGTTATGGTGTCAGCAGAGGTGTTTGCCCTTTAAAGACACCCCCTAATTTTTGGCGGAGCACGGCGCGTCTGAAGGGCAGGACGGCTGACCCGAGGACATCCTCTGCCCCTTAGGAGGTACTGATGTTTTGTGCTTCACTACTTGCCATGACCAAACGAGTTACTCTAGACCAGGCTGTCTCTGCAGGGGAACCCCAAAGTGCCACTGGTGGTGGAGTCAGACTCAGCATCATCCGCTGCCCACCCCAGTTCCAAAAGATCCGGAGAAGGTTTTTATTGGGAAAAACCCCCCGAGGGGGCTGCTCCCTCCCTGTGTGTTTCTGAGCTTGACTCCACGTGGCTTTGTTGTTCACCTCCTGAAGGCTGTGGAGATGAGGGTCCTTTAAGGACTCTTGTTTATGGACATGACTCAGAGTTGAAGGAGAGGATCTTGTATCAGCTGTAGTTTTAATTTTTGAGCCCCTGTGGTGGGGGCTGGCTCTGGTTTTGTTTCATTGGGGTCACTCTGTCTTGGAGTGAAATCAAATGTGTGCTGTGCCCTGCAGCCCAGTCAGGCCTTCTCTCTTCAGGAGAGACTGTGTGTGGATCACAGGGAGTTCTCTTCACCCACATTGTTCCTCCTTTTCTGCTGACACTGGTGAAAGATCAGCCCAGCTGTGCTGGCCTGGCATCTGTCCTGTGGAAACACTTTTAGGGATGGCTGGACTCACTTGCCAGGTTCTTCCCTTGGCTGTTGAATGCTGGTTGCTCCTACTGACTGCTGGGCAGGGAATGTCCCTCTCTCCCAGCTCCATGCAGGAGTTCTGCTGAGCCCCCGAGTGCTGAGTGCTGGGATGGAGCCTGGGTCCCACCCAGGGATAACCAGGTGGCAGTGGAGGACTCTGATGTGTGTGGGGGTGGGAGGGCAGTGCTGGTGACCTCTGAGGCTGTTGGAGGCTGTTTTCTCCTTTGCTTTTCCAGCAGGACGGGAGGTTGGTCAGGCTGGGCTGTCCTGGCAGTGGTTCTGTGCTCTGAGCAGTGACAGGCAGTGCCTGGTGATGTCAAGGTTTGACACCACAGTGGCTCAGGAACTTTCTCATCCATCACCTCACAGCTCATGTGCTGAGCTTTGCATTTCCCTTTGGATCCTTTCCTTCTTGATCCTTGCTCTGGTTTCAGTTGTTCCTGGCTTTGATCTCATTTGGAGCCCAGTTTGATGGGAGTTCCTGGTGGGTGGAGGGAATGGATGAATCTGCACCACTCATCCCCTGCCTTAGGAAAAGGATAAATGGCACAACTGGATTTTTCTGTTTGGCACATCAGTTGGCTACGTGCTGTGTTCTCCAGTTGCATGAGGAGTTGGCCAACTTGAAACTGGGAGACCTAAACTGCTGAGAGGGTTCTTTGAACATAATTAATTTGAATAAGTGGCTCCTAATTGCTGTTACATAATTGTGTTTGTAATTGGAAGCCTTTATGCTCTGCTAAAACTTATTTAAAGTGGTGCCTCTAAGGGTTTCATAATTTTGTGTGTTTCTTTTTTTCCACCTCAGTGTCTGCTTTTCTGGTGCAAAAAGATTGTAGGGAACAGACAAGAAGCAATGTGGGAATTCAACTTCAAGTTCAAAAAGCAGGTATGAAAGATTGGCAGTGACTTTTGTTTGAAGCAGAAATTATTTTTCTGGGTGGTAAAAGGGACGGTGGAAACTTTTTATGCCTTCAGACAATAAATGGGAACTCTGATTCCCCTGGTAAACTAAAGCACAGTCTGAAACTACACTCAATCTTCTGTGTGGGTTACCAAGACATTTAGAATCCCAGATTTTTATTTCCTCCTTTGGTATCCCTTCTGACGGGGATCATTTGTTACCCCAAATAATCTCACCTTTGGGTCTGATTGCTACTCAAACCCAGTTGTTTGACTGTAGCGGTCAAAATGTTGACCAAAAACCTGAAACTTCTTGTTTTACCATTGCAAAGATTTCTCAGAGAAATAAAGCAAGGGAAAACCTCCAAGAATGGGTCTTGGGAGAAACCAGTAGTCTCAGGCAACCTTGGGAATTCTGCAGCTTTCCCCTCTAAAGGAATGGTCCTGCCTGTCCCGAGTGAAGGCTTCTGGTTGTTTTGGGAACACTGCCCAAAACACACGGGGAGGTGGTGACAACCTGCTCAGCTCAGTCAGGGCCTCTTTCTTTCCAAGTCCCCCAGATTGAAGAGCAAGTGTTGCAAAGGTCTGCAGCCCCCCATCCAGTACGAGGAGGTGCACACGAACCCGGATCAGGATTGCTGCCTGCTGCAGATCACCACCTTCAACTTCATCTTCGTGCCAATCGTCATGGGCATGACGTTTACCTTGGTGAGTGGGGGAGAAGCTGCCAGGCAGGCTTTGCAGGTGAGGTTTCTGGAAGGAGGGCACCTAAAATCATGGAACCTCCTGGGTTGGAAGGGACCAACAAGGAGCTTCGAGTCCCAGCTCCCGGCCTTGCACGGGACAACCCCAGGAATCCCACCCAGTGCCTCCCTGGGGCTGTGCAAATCCCACTGCTTTGTCAGCAAACCAGTTTTAGGAATCTTATGAACAGGAAATGCTGAGGGTCTCAGTTTAACTTCTCCATTTCCATCAGCTCTTCCCTATTTGGTGCAGTAAATACAGAGGATGTAGAGAATCTGCAGGAGTTGTGGTTGTGGTGCAGTGTTTGGGGGTGATTAGTTACCAGAACTGCAGCAGGTATGAGAGGGAGGGAGCAGGAGAAGTGCAGGTCTGCCCTCCTCAAGAAAATATCTCCTTATTGGCAATAAATTCTGAGAGGAAAATCCCATCTGAGCAAACTCTTTGAATGTGTGTTTGGTCCTTGATGGGAGGAAGGGCAGCTTTGGAACAAACCCCCAAAGCTGGGCTCCAGAGAGCAACAGAGGAGGAGTGTTGGGGCAGCTCTGTGGTGAAGAAGGGGCAGCACAAGGGGCTGTGCTGGTGAGTCAGGGCTTCAGAAATGACCTGTGCCCAGAAGAGGTTCAGTCTGGCTTCACTTGGGAGTCGGGCAGCGAGTTCCAGACTTCCCCTGACAGCCCCTTGCTTCCAGGCTCTCTTAAAATCACAGACTCATAAAATTGTTTAGATTGGAAAAGACCTTCCAGTGCATCAAGTCCAACCATTGCCCAGCACTAATCACCCCTAATCACATCCCCAGGTGCCACATCCACACCCCTTCCAGGGATGGCAACTCCATCCCTGCCCTGGGCAGCCTGTCCCAATGTTTTACAACCCTTCTACAACCCTTACAACTCAGAGCATTATTGTTTGGGTGGCCAGGCAGTGCTGTAAACTCAGTGTGACTCTGCTGGTTTAAAAGGAAAGCAGTGGGAGAAACAAACCCAACTCGAGAGAGATCCCAAGTCAGAGTTACAATTCACTAAAATGATTGCAGTAAGTGCAATGATACAGAGAAAACTGGTTTTAACCCCCAAAGACAGATGTATAACCCAGCACCCTGGGGCAAGAACAGAGCAGTGTTCATGGGCCCCTGTGCTGAGCTCCACGTGGCCCCCCCGGGGGCAAAGGAAAAGGAAAGGAGAGCTGTTGGTCAGGATGGTGGGCACAGTTCTGTTGGAGTTCTGGTCCTCTGGATCCACCAGTGGTCCCAGCAGTGCCCAGACCTGCAGAGTGTCTGTGCTCAGGTTGAGGTGGGGATGCCCAGTGCCTCCCCCAGGGCAGGGACTGTCCCGAGGGGGGATTGAACTCTGTGAGCCCTGGGATGTTTTTGGAACCTTTGATGCTCTGGGTGGCTGCAGCTGCCCCTTGTGCCAGTCCAAGGTGGCCCATGAGCAGAGATGAGCCCTCGGGCTGGGGGTGAAGGTGCTGATGCCTCCCTGGTGGGGAGTTCCCAGGGCTGAGCCATTGGTGTGAGGACAAAGAAACGCTGCCCTGCCTGCAGGGCCTGAGAGCCTGAGGTGTCAGGTGTGCCCTGGGCAGCTGCTGCAAACAATCCCTTTGTTACCTGTCCCTCAGCAATGGCACAGAGGGTGTAGCACACACAGGTTTGGTTATCCCTTTGTTACCTGTCCCTCAGCAATGGCACAGAGGGTGTAGCACACACAGGTTTGGTTATCCCTTTGTTACCTGTCCCTCAGCAGTGGCACAGAGGGTGTAGCACACACAGGTTTGGTTATCCCTTTGTTACCAGTCCCTCAGCAATGGCACAGAGGGTGTAGCACACACAGGTTTGGTTATCCCTTTGTTACCTGTCCCTCAGCAATGGCACAGAGGGTGTAGCACACACAGGTTTGGTT